CTGCTCCTCACAGTGTGGTATGGGGACTGAGAAACCCATGCAGGCTCTTGCAAGGTTAGAACTCTGTGTTTGAGAACCATTTTCATATACGGTTGGTTTTTTCCTTTAGGTGGCCACTGTACTCTTTCCTTTTTTCAGCCTTTCTGTGAAATATACATAGCTAAGGATGTTTACCACACCTCAAAAAAGAATCCTGCTTCAAATCAATTGACATGATACATCACATCAATAAGAGAAAGGGTAAAAACCATATGACCATTTCAATAGATGCAGAAAAAAAGCATCTGACAAAGTACAACATCCATTCACGATAAAAACCCTCAATAAAGTAGGCCTAGAGGGAACATACCTCAACATAATAAATGCCATCTAAGAAAAACCCACAGAGAACATCATCCTCAATGGTGAAAAACAGAGCTTTTCCCCTAAGGTCAGGAACAAGACAGGGATGTCCACTCTCACCACTTTTATTCAGCATAGTGCTGGAAGTCCTAGCCACCGCAATCAGACAACAAAAAGAAATAAAAGGCATCCCAGGTTGGTAAGGAAGAAGTAAAACTTCCACTATTTCCAGGTGACATGACACTATATATATAGAAAACCCAAAAGACTCCACCAAAAAACCATGAGAACTGATAAATGAATTCAGTAAAAGTCACAGGATACAAAATCAATGTACAGAAATTTGTTGCACTTCTATACACTAATAAAAAAGCAGCAGAAAGAGAAAATAAGAGAACAATCCCATTTACAATTGCACCAAAAACAATGAAATATTCAGGAATAAGCTTAATTAACCAAAGAGGTGAAAGATCTGTATTCCAAAACTATAAATTGTTGATGAAAGAAATTAAAGAAGACACAAAGAAATGTAACGACATTCCATGCTCATGGATTGGAAGAACAAATATTGTTAAAATGTCCATACTACCCAAAGCAATCTACACATTTAGTGCAATCCCTACCAAAATACCAACAGCATTTTTTTCACAGAACTAGAACAAACAATCCTAAAATTTGTATGGAACCAGAAAAGAGCCCAAATAGAGACAGCAACCCTGAAAAAGCAAAAGTAAAACTGAAGGTATCAAAATTGCAGACATCAACTTATATTACAAAGCTGTCATCATCAAGACAGTCTGTTACTGGCACAAACACAGACACACAGATAACAGAACAGAATGGAAAACCCAGAAATGAATTCACTGTTACGTGGTAGTTAATCTTCATTGAAGCAGGAAAGAGTACCTAGTGGTGAAAAAGACTGTCTCTTCAACAAATGGTGTTGGCTAAACCGGACAGCCACATGCAAAAGAATGAAACTGGAGGGATGCCTGGGTGGCTCAGTCAGTTAAGCGTCTGCCTTCACCTCAGGTCCTGATCTCAGGCCCTGCTCAGCGGGGAGTCTGCTTCTCCCTGTCCCTCTGCCCCTCCCCCTGCTCATGCTCACTCTCTCTGTCTCTCAAATAAATAAATAAAATCTTTAAAAAAAAAAAAAAGAATGAAACTGGACCACTTTCTTTCACCATACACAAAAATAAACTCAAAATGGATTAAAGACCGAAATGTGAGACCTGAAACCATAAAAATCCTAAAAGAGCACAGGCAGTAATTTCTCTGACATTGGCCATAGCAACATATTTCTAGATCTGTCTCCTGAGGCAAGTGAAATAAAAGCAAAAATAAAGTATTGGGACTATAAAAACTCTTTTATCAAAATAAAAAGCTTTTGCACAGCAAAGGAAACAATCAACAAAACTAAAAGGTAGCCTACCAAATGGGTGAAGATATTCACAAATGACATATCCAATAAAGGGTTGGTATCCAAAATATATAAAGAACTGATACAACTCAACATCCCCAAAACAAATAATCCAATTAAAAAATGGGCAGAAGACCTGAACAGCCATTTCTCCAAAGAAGACATCCAGATGGCCAACAGACATATGAAAAGATGCTCAGCATCACTCATCATTAGGGAAATGCAAATCAAAACTACAATGACATATCATCTCACACCTGTCAGAATGGCTAAAATCAACAATATGAGAAACAAGTGTTGGTGAGGATGTGGGGAAAAAGGAGCTCTCCTGCACTGTTGGTGGGAGTGCAAACTGGTGCAGCCACTGTGGAAAACAGTACGGAGGTTCCTCAAAAAGTTAAAAATAGAACTACCTTACCATCCAGTAATCACATTAGTGGATATTCACCCAAAGAATACAAAAACACTAATTCAAAGGGATACATGCACCCCAGTGTTTATTGCAGCATTATTTACAATAGCCAAATTATGGAAGCAGCCCAACTGTCTGCTGATAGATGAATGGATAAAGAAGAGGTGGGATACACACAATGGAATATTACTCAGCCATAACAAGGCATGAAATCTTGCCATTTGCAATGACATGAATGGAGCTAGAGTATAATGCTAAGCGAAATAAGTCAAAGAAAGATAAATATCATACGATTTCACTCATATGTGGAATTTAAGAAACAAAACAAATGAGCAAAGGAAAAAAGAGAGAGAGAGAGAGAGACAAACCAAGAAACAGACTCTTAACTATAGAGAACAAACTGATGGTTATCAGAGAGGAGGTGGGTGGGGGGATGGGTAAAATAGGTGATGGGGATTAAGGAATGCACCTGTTGTGATGAGCACCTGGTGTTATATGAAAGTGTTGAATCACTATATTGTACACCTGAAACTAACATAACACTGTGTGACTAATACAGGAATTAAAATTAAAAACTTAATTAAAAAAAAAAAGAACCCTGCTTTAGGAAACCTGGTAGGAAGAGACTGAGTCAATCATGCCAAACAATATAAATAAATTAACATAATTCTGTCATGTTGCTACCTGGGAATGACTCAATTTACTTGATCATCTAAAAAATAAATGTTTTAGAAAAACAATACCATTAATAGTAATATTGTTGCAGAAACACAATTAGAGATTTTCTTAGATATTATATTTGCTGAACTTGTTTTATAATCTCCCAAAGTAAGGCTAGGATTGATTTCACAAGGACTTTTTACTCTTGGATGTTGGTCTCATATTGCCGATTGTCCTCTTTAAGGCTTGCTCCACCTCCCTCACTTGAACTGAGGTAAAGCCCTTCAAACTAGCACCACTTCTCCCATTTTTCCTTCTTCTTTCTCAAAATGATCTTCCACAGACTCCAGTTTGATCACTAAACCCCATGATCAAAATGTTTATAGGTTTCTGGCCTTGTACAGAGTATATTGAGGGTGTTGGATTTTAGGACAAAAAAGGACCTCAGAGATGATTTAAGCTGTAGTGCAGTGCTTCTCCAAGTTGAACAGGCTTCAGAATGACCCCTCAAGGGCTTGTTAAAATATTAGATTCCTGGGTCCCACCCAGAGAGGTTCAGATCCAGTAGGTCTGAGGCAGGACCCAAGAATGTGACGGTTCAAGGTGCTGGTCCGTGGACCACACTTGGAGATTTGCTTATATCTACTTTGCCTTATGCACTCAGCTTCCTCTTAAATTTTCATTTTAACAAAGGATTTAATAACTGACATTCAACCATCTAGTCTAACTCTCTTGGTTTACAACATAAGAAGATAGGCCTGAAGAGCCAGGTCACCTGGCCAGTGGGCCTATGCTCTGTCCTGATACCATCTTTCTTCAAACTTCTAATCTAGCTTTGAAGCCTCCAACTACATTCCTACCTTTATCTCTGCTTCCCTGCAAAATAACCAACCTCTCAGTTCTGGGTCAGTTGGGTACATGCCCTTTCCCAAATATCTAGTGTAATTATAATCCCAGCACTTTGAACCGAACTCATTAACTTTTTGGACCTTAAGCTCTCATCTACTTCAGAACTCACATGGATGGCATACCTTTGACCTCAAATCATCCAGAACTGTCCCACCTCCAAGATCCTAGACTCTAAAAAATATACTGTTTTGACCACAGCCCCCTAGGCTTTCTAATCCCTAGACCGCCAACCCTTCTGGCATCCTCCCAGGCAACTGGGGTAATGTTTCCTTGACCTGTACTCACCACCCTACCCGGCCTGGGCAATGCTCCAGCAGCATCTTCCCCATGCCTTCAGTGTGCCTTCCCTGACTTTCTGTCATGTCTGTCTCGCCAATCCCCACCACCAAATTAATCAAAAAATTGTTTTTCTATTCCCAGTCCTTTAACATTGCTGGCTATGGTCACAGTCCCATGCTGACTAGACTTACTAATACTCTCAGCTAGAACTTCCTACCTCAATCAGCTTGTATGTTCATCTCTAATTGACTCTTTCTCAAGTTTCCAAAGAGATTCTTCAAAATTCCTGTCATCTTGAACCCCCCCGACACCCCGCCGCCAAAATCTCCCCCATTGCCTCCCATTCCCAGAAGTGTCATCATCTCCAAGGGAAAAGATAAGAACCGAGCACAAGTCTGGGGCTGGACTTAGGGGGATTAGCGCCTCTCTCTCTCGTGGGCCTTGAGAAGCCATTCCAAATTTTGCTTTAGAAAAATCACTGTGATGGCTGTGAGCAGGATACGCTAGAACAGGGACATGGGCAGATAAACAAGAGGGATTCAATGAATACACAAAGGGGATGAGGGAGAATAAAGAATCAAGAATTGCTAAATATTATACTTCGTGTATAGTAGATACACAATAGACATGTGTTCAACTAATTTATTCTGGCTCTGATTCTGAGAAAAATGTATATAGAAAAATATTTACTAAAGTGAAAAAAAAAGTGCATCGTTGAGAGCAAGAATCCTTTTGCTATGTCTTGTCATAAGGCAAATGAAACTGATTATGCAATGGACAGATGGTGCAACAAGATATAAAATGAAATTAGCAATGATGAAACCCAGATGGAAATGAGGAAAAGGTCAATATGTTAAAGGTCAAAGGAATTTGGCTCCATCTTGTCTTGTTTCATAAAGAACGAAGGTCAGAGCGTAGTGGCTCTTACTGCAGGCAAGTTGTCAGACTATTCGCTATGCTGCAGAACCAAATACTCACCCAGGGTTGTTCAAAGCTATAGGTACGTCGCCGATCTTCTACATCTTCATCCTGCTTCGCTTGCTGAAATTCTTGCCGTAGACGCTGTATCCGATCATGGTTGCTAGGAGTTGATCTGTTGCTGAAAGAGAGAAGGGGCAACAATGAACACCCTTTGGAGATACAATCTGTGAATTGCAGTTGCTAGGGAAAGAAAACGGCAGCTTGCTATGGAATGACACTGTTTAAGAGGCAGTGAGTTTATAAAACAATATCTGGGCATTTAAAATGCTTTCATTTTGTTCTTATGATTAAGAGTTATTGAAGTTATTTCAGATATTCAAGAAGGCAAGCAGTATTTTTAGACAATCCTGTTTTATGCAGTACTTTAAAAGCCTCATTTCCTTTCTGTAATCTGGTGAGGTGTTGGCAGCAAAATTTTTTTGGAAAGGACGTTGCATTAAAAGTCAGAAATATCAGGGTCCTGTCCTTGCTCCTCTACCTTCTTAGACTAAGGCACTTAATACCTCTCAGTTGTGGGGGTTTTTATATATATGCAGTGGACATGATAATCATTTTTGCTCTAAATATCACAGTTGCAACAATCAAGTAAGGTAATACCATACAATATAGCCTCACAAACATGCAGTATTATTTTCATAAGCTATCATATAAAGTTCCTATTTAGGAGTTATTAGAGGTCTATACACAAAGTACAGTTCTCACAGCATAAATGACAAGCATTTTAAAAATAACTTTGGGTGGTAGTTTGATTTCACCAGTTAGCTGATAATAATGTTGCCTTCTTTTTTTTATAGCATTAAATTTTAATCTCAAAATGCTTAAGATAGGTACAGATGGTAGTCTCTCTCTCTCTCTCTCTCTCTCACACACACACACACACACACACGTAGAAACTGACGTTCGAAGAAGATAAGTGACTTGTCTGCAGTCTCCCAGCTGGTCAATGGGGAGGTGAGGCTGGAGTCCAGATTCTGCTGGTATCCAGTCCAGCCCTGATTTCACTGTGCCATGTTGTGTCAATTAGTAAAACATATATCAGACTCCAAAGCCCCTGCTTTATAAAATCATACAGATTTTATTTATTTATTTATTTATTTATTTATTTATTTATTTTTAAAGATTTTATTTATTTATTTGAGACAGAGAGAATGAGAGAGAGAGAGCACATGAGAGGGGGGAGGGTCAGAG